CCTTTCCTCCTCTTCCTCCTTCTCCTCCTCCTCCTCTTTCACTACCCATTTCTGCAGTTCCTGTAGTACATACTCCACCGAATCCTATCTCTTTACTTAATCCACTTCCTAATCCTCCCATTGCCGATATGCCGAACCCGAGATCTCCTCCGCCACCAATGCAGTCAGCGTTTCCACGACTAGCTGCACCAAGCTGCTGCAACATCGACATGCCGCCACCTTCGAACACGTAACCCTGGTCGGTGCCAATGTAGGGCACCGTGAACGACGGCGATGACGATGAGAGCACCGGGCCAGTGACTACAGTGCTATCATTACGTTCCCCATCCGCCACTGTGTTAACTTCGAGCCTTCTTTCGTTTAGCATCGGATACACTGATTGACGGAAATCCTTAATCATCAGCTAATTGCAAAGCTGTCTTTTACAATATTAACGTTATTCGTTTTTCTTGTGATTTGATAAATGATGTCTATCTCGTTTCTTTTCTTTTCTTCGTCCTCTTCCTCCTTGTCGTCACAGCGTGTCTTTCAATATCCATAAATCTGCCTAGTTTCTTTGAATGATTCGTTCGATTGATTCAGCTGTGTCATTATCTGAAAGACATACGTGACAATCGGACACACATGACAATTATGAATAAGAAATAAATCAAATTCATATTCATAATAAATAAATTCATAATAAATAAATCCATATTTTTAAACTGTTTATCAAACCTACATAAAACTATATGCGTGACTTATAATTTTTATTTGAATGATATTTATATGAAAAGGAAGATCAAACTTTAAAGCAGGAAGAGCATGTAATGACATATTCTGTTCTAAACAAGTAATAAAGAAGATGGCAGATAATAGAGAAGTGCATGTAACATTCAAATCTCTCTTTACCGCTTTTATGCTTCAGAAAGCATACGACACTGTGCCTACAGTAAAGTTATGGGAAAGCAATCCAATTATACTAAGTATTAACCATATTTTAATTAAAGCTCTACAAAACTTGTACGATGGAGCAAAATCGAGAGTTAATATTGGTAAATTCTTATCTAAAGAATTCATGGTGATGAATGGGTCTTTGGACTTTGCAACTCCATCGTTATTCAAAATACATATAGCAAAGGTCTTGCGAAAGTGGAAAAGGAAATGCTCTAGTATGAAAATAGAAGGCTCGGTTATCTTTCTGCAGCCATATTGAATTATGACGTCGAGGCGAGAAATGACATGTAAAAAGTTTCTTGCGTCGTATAGCTTTGTCCTGTACTTTTTCCTTAAAAACATATTTTCGTATTCTTAAAATTTGTAAAATATATCATAAAGTAAAATATCTGTATCCAATAAATTACGTAAAAGTGTAAAATAAATCTTGAAATAATGGTACATTGCTTAGCTATCAAAAATTATCAGATCACTAGATCTAGTTGTTTCTAATAGCTGATGCATATGTTTTTAAGGAAAAAGTATAAGAGCTATAGTAAAGCTATACAACGCAAGAAACTTTTTACATGTCATTTCTCGCCTCTGACGTCACACAACCCATGTCGCCATCGAGAGATCGAGCCTTAATATTTGCTTATACACATTGCAGTTTATAAACGATCAAGCAATAATAACCAACAACAATGAAGATATAGAACATAAGAAAACTCATTGAAGAGTATAGACAGTGAAGTCTGATAGTAAACCTCGAAAAAAGCTAAATGTCTATGCATTGGCGCTGAGCACAAAAATCTAAACTTAGAAGACAACAGTATCATAGACCTATTCAAGTTATAAATTTTCCTAGGAATTTTCAACAAAAGAGGAAACGGATGATGAAGGTATCCGGAACAAAATTATATCAGCTAGAAAAGCAATAGGATGTCTGAACAGTATACTCTGGAATAAAGATAGTTCTAATAGCGCGCTCTTCGAACTCAGTCATAACAAAAAAGAAAAAATATGGTATATATAAAGTCATAGTGAAAAGCGCGCGCGCGCGCGTGTGTGTGTGTGTGTGTGTGTGTGTGTGTGTGTGTGTGTGTGGTGTAAACCAAGAGAAAAGCACTGAATATCAATAAATGAATTACGAGGGTAGTCTGAAAAGTTTTGAGCCTTAACATGAAGATGACGTTACTCGTCAAAACCATTCTAGTACTACAATCGTATATGCTTTGAAAGACTTTTGTGAAAATTTCACCCATTTTGGACGCTCAGTTGTTGTTTGATAGTCGTTTGTGTCAGTCGATGTCAGTGTTTTTGTAAAAATGGAAAAAATGGAATATCGTGCCGTGATTAAGTTCTTACATTTGAAAGGCAATACGCCTGCGCAAATTAAAATCAAGTTGAAAGCTGTTTACGGGGACTCTGCCCCATCATTTGCCACCGTAAAAAGATGGGCAGCTGAATTTAAACGTGGTCGTATCAGCTTGGCTAATGATGAACATTCGGGACCAAAACTGCGACCACCGCTGATAACATCGATAATGTTCACCAAATGATACTGGATGAATCAAAGGTCGTCGAATCAAGGTTAGAGAGATAGCAGAGGCTATGGGCATATCGAAAGAACGCGTTTGTCATATATTGACTGAAGAATTGGATATGCGCAAGCTATCCGCGCGTTGGGTGCCGCGCTTGCTCACTTTGGACCAAAAATGAATTCGAATGAACATTTCCAAGGCCCTGTTGGAGCGGTTCAAGCGAAACGAATCAGATTTTTTGCGTCGATTCATAACTATAGATGAAACTTGGATCCACAACTACACTCCAGAAACAAAAGAACAGTCAAAACAGTGGACTGCAAAGGGTGAACCTGTTCTGAAAAAGGTGAAGACGGTTCCATCAGCTGGGAAGGTAATGGCGACTGTTTTTTGGGATAGTCACGGAATTGTGTGTATCGACTATTTTGAAAAAGGTAAAACAATAACGGGAGCGTATTACGCATCATTACTTGAACTGAAGGCAGAAATTGCAAAAAAACGGCTGCATTTGAAGAAGAAGAAAGTGCTGTTCCATCAAGACAACGCACCTGCTCACACTTCGGCGGTCGCTATGGCCAAAATTCACGAACTGCACTTCGAATTGATTGACTACCCACCGTATTCACCAGATCTGGCCCTCAGCGACTTTTTCCTGTTTCCTAAGCTTAAAGTTTCGCTTGGAGGACAGAGATTTTCATCGAGGAGGTCATCGCATACGTAAACGCCTATTTTGCGGAGCAAGATGCCAACTATTATTTGGAGGGGTTAAAGAGGTTAGAGTATCGATGGGACAAGTGTATCGACTTAAAAGGAGATTATGTTGAAAAATAAATTATATTTGACCGCAAAAATACGCACTTGTTTCTATGTTAGACTCAAAACTTTTCAGACTACCTTCGTATGTTAAGATTGAATTATATAATTTATATGTGATTTACATATATGTAATTTATGTGTAATTTAATAGATCCTAAAATAATCAAAATATAGTCGATATATGAGATTAGCCTCATATTATATTAATCTAGATTAATTATTGTTCTCGACAAAAACATTATTTCTATGATATCGGTGATACGTGCCACATACGACACTACATAGATAAGAAAATAGAAGAAAATATACATAAAGCAAACTAGCAGCGGATAAAGCGAAAATTTCTACATATATTTCCACGTTACTTACCCTTTCTTTCTTCAAGTATGATCCTTCAAGTATGTTTGATTGATGAAACGACGTATCATCCTGTATTGCATTGAGACATTGCATTTCGTCACCTGGTCCCAATAAAAGATCATGATTTGTATTAATATAATAATAAAAAGTGACAATAAAAATAATGAGACGATGATAATAACAAGATGATAATGATGATGATGGCGGTGATTGGTGACGGTGGACAATGACGGTATCAGTAAAGATT